GAGTTATTGGAAGGTTCTGCAGACCAGCAAAATGCTCATCATTCGATCAAGTACCCCCCTGTTAAGACAATGCAGAGAAAAGCACCACAGGTCTCGGCCGCGCCAAAGCCGAAAGTGTGACCGCGAGTTCAGCTTGAGTGTGAAGCTGTGCGGACCCTCAGCCGCGGGTTCAAGTTCCTCGTGTTGGTGGGCGAGGATCGAAGGGAACGTCAGAGGAGCTCCCATCGAGAAGAGGCGTGAAAAGCCAGAAAAGCATCGAAGAGGAAATAAAGAAGTCGAGGTTGGCGGCAACCTCCACGAAAGTGGTCATCAAAAGGCGTAGGCCTGTTGATATCATACTCCCCCCTGGCCGCAATGTTGAGGCCGAGAAAGATCGTCTTGCTGAGCTTAACCAGTTTGCAGGTGGGCCTTTAGGCTTGCCGAAAGTCTCTCTGGTAGGAGCTGCGAGGGCAAGAGCTGGTAGGCCGTGACTCATCGTCTATATGTTGAGTATTGGCTTTGATTTTACAGGAGGTGAGATGAAGAACAACGGTGCCAAGACAGAGCCAGATCGCATGGTGAGATTTCATGACTGCTCGCTTCCTCAGCGTAGTGACTCCGGCACAAAGCCTCGCTATCGTTTAGTGACCATCCAGTGTTGTTGCTCAGCATCATCAGAGCTCCTCCGGGATTTCTTATTGAAATACGATTGAATATACTTTCTGGGGCGAGCCGGGAGACGTGGGAGTTGTAAACGATCCTTGCATAGAGTCTTTCGGTCACTTGCTGGAATGTGGTGGAACAAGTCGCTAAAGTACCCTCGCGCAAATATGTCGTCGAGAGGGGGAGAGAAAACAACGCTGTATCGATGCCGGGTCAGTTCAACGAACTGAAGAAAGAGATGGAGGCGAGAGAGGAGCGATTATTGCAACTATCGGGTACAGTTGAAGTTGAATGCAAGAGACCAGCCCCTCCTGCGGGAACTCAAGCTGCCCGCAATCGACTCAAAAGGATAACAGGTAACATTGTATACACCACTCTGCAATCTATGTTCTACTTCTGACTGGATAGGTTTCTCTCACGCCTCACTGTTCTCTTCTCTTGTTGCAGTAGTTATGTGAGGAATAAGCCCTTTCATAATCCCGTAGACGCAGTATTGCTGGTCCATTGGTATGTTAGGATATGGGAACATCGTATAACTCTTGGTGATGCTAGTTCGCGATAGTTGCGCCCATTCTTTGGGATTCTGTCTATCCTCAGCTCAGAGGAACGAGCTCCTCCAGCTCGAACATGACCTGCAGCGCCACGCCGAAGACCTCAACACTTTGTCTCAAGCCAAGCAAGCTGTTCGACAATCATGATGTCCATGTGTGTAAAATACTCATTCATGGTGTTGGAAACATTTGTGTTGTAAGTAGCAGAGCACAACTATCGATCGTACTTCAATGAGAGCTTGTTTCAATGTTGAGTAATTTGATCACCTGTTTCATGTTGAAGTTGAGGTTCATACTACGGAACTCAACGACGGTCGTTGATTATGGAACTCATGGAGCTGCTACTGCTATACGATTAGTTCACGGAGAAGCATGAAAGTATATCTTTAGCCACTCAGGTTTTCACAAGTAGAACATCGACCGCCTTCGTATATCATGGCAACTGAGCTTCTTTCGCTTAACAACGGTTCTGGCCATTGTGTGGGTGTTATCCCTCTTTTTTACACCTATAGTAAGCGTACCTGCTAGCGTGAGCTATACGGAGGGTCGCCCGAAGTGTACTATTCCTAAGATCGGTCTCTAGGTTAGTCGCAACACCTTTTGAAGGCCTATTTCGCGTTTATGTATGCCCCAATCAAGGACGAAGAATGGATGAGCATAGTCGACATTAACTAGGGACCAGATGGCGCATGATCATCATAATTGAGATACGGATGCAGCC